TTATTGGCTGTAAGTGAAATGCACCAGAAATTCTTTCAACAATCAAAGATGGAACTTTAATTTCTTTACATGTCAGTTTATGCTAGAAATGTTTTGGAATGGGATATTTGTCTGATTTGTACATATAAATATCCTAGTCTGCCTAACTGCATCACTACATTGTACAGACATTACAGGTCAAAGCCATCTGATGTTCCATTTATCTAAATAAACAACATATATGGCTCTTAAAACACTGTCTATGAAAATTCAGTATTGTCATATTTCGAGTATCTCAACTGAACTGAGGTCATTTGTTTAATCATTTTATTACTGATTGTGTACTTGTCCTTTTTTGTAAATTCAATTCAGTTTGAAATCAAATTTGAAATCATGCTTCCTTTTGCTGTAAGCTTTTGCAACAAAGTTACCCTATTTTAGAGACACAAATACACAGAATGAGCAAATGTTTAAGATTTAAATTTTTGTAATGGTAATTGATCAATATTTATATGTATGTAAATAAAAGCCTATATTAAAATCTGTTCATCATATAAAGCAAACGTGTCTTTTTAGAAGACTTGGATTAAACCACTCAAAGCTTGAAATAATGATTGCCTTGAAAAAAAATGGATGAACAAAAATATAATTGAGATATTAAAATATCTATATGGCAGTATACAGTATGTGGAAGCTTTGCCAATGGTATTGAAAATGATTCATCATGAAATCAAATACCTTACTTTTTTAGTGCACATTACTAGTCTTGTGGTGAACAATTAAACCGTGGAAGTCAATACACTGGAAAATAAAAAATGGTCCAACGTCGTAATCTTTAATCCAAAACTGAAAATTTTGCTTCCGCTCTGGAATGGCGTTCTGGCTCTGATTACGTCAGTTTGACGGCATCGGGAGAATCCTCTTCTTAAGTCATGACATAAGGACTGCTGTTTCCGGGTCCAAGCCTCTACTCATTTCACTTGATAATACTACTTCAGCAGCCATTTATGAGCACTATTTAATTAATATTACATATTTAAGCTAAGCATTTAAAAAATTGCTGTGCACACTACAGTCTCCGTGCTCACAGTGTCTCAGACACTAATTTTTTAGCTGAATCACTGTCTGGCCATCTGGGATTTCAGTATGGAGATAAAGGGGTTATAATTTTTTCAGTATTACATGACATCCTGGGTATATATTAGCACAGTTTGGTGTTTTCTTGGGGCGTCTGGC